ATCATAAACTTTAAAGGCTGATTTCTCATATATTGTTCTTTAAACAGCTGTGTGGTTAAACACTGGTAACTTCATGAGGAAATGTCCGATTTGAATGATTTTTTAACCATTTTATAGCTATTATTTCTCTATTAATAACTCAAAATCGATTTTTGCGACGAGTGACTGGTTTGGCTTGTCTTTGCCACATATATTATATTATATATGTATATTACGATGATGATCATGATTATAATAATAAAAATGTTACCACATGACATAAACCTAAAACTGAAGAGTAGAAGTTGATAAGTCAACATTCAGGAAGAATATAATATTCAACGCTCCATCCACTGTCATCAACAAATGAGATTTGATGACCTGATTTTATCAGCATGCGAAGGCAGTTGAATTAGAAATATATATTTAAATTAACGAATTCTGTCTAAGAATGATACAAGATTTAGTGAAAAAAATTACATAAGGCTTTAGCTATAGATTGGATAGTTTCAGCCAATCAGATTCCTTGTTCTGTGGTTGTATTTCGCTAAGCAGTTACCTTGTAATACAGTATTGGCGTCGTTTGGATTTCAACCAATTAAATTATTTATTTTTGCAAAATTGTTTCAAATAACATTCAACGGACAGGATGCCTTAAATTTGCAATCTATAATAATTTACATTTGTATAAAACATAAATACTGTATAATGATAAGTTACAAGTTTAGACACACTTTCCTTGTCCTATGATTTTAAGCCAATCATATTCCTTTTACTATGTTCTTCAAGCATGGAGCTATAAAAGCTCTGATCCAAGTAATTGCTTGCACGTTCTCCTCAGTCAACAGTTTGCTCATTATTTGGGTCATAATGCATTTCTAATGCTCTCGTTTGTTCCCTACACAATTAATCATATAAAGAAGTGTAGGGGATGCAGTTATTGCTACATGAATCAGCAAGTAATTTTATCAACACTAATGGCTTGCTGTCTTCATTCAGCTCAACCTTGAAAAACCATTTCACTTCATAAAGCATTGGTCTTCAGTTCAGTTAGCAATGATTAAATGTGATGTAATACAGCTTATCAAATACTAAAATATACAAAATTTACTCTGGGTAAAAAATTCTGTAATTATTTGGAATAATTAAGAGTTTGAAACTGGCTGACCAATTTAGAGCTTTTTATTCATAAATTCTGATATATTGGGTTATTTGTTTTTGCAGTACGTCCTTTGTCTATTGGATTAAATGAAAACAGTAATTTGGTATTTTAAGGAAAATTTGAAGTGCATAGCAGATTAATTCAAGACAAAACAATCCATTCACAGCCAGTGTATGCAAGTCTGAACACTTTAATAATATCCTTTAAGCTCATTTTCATAAACACTCAGTGTGGTAGTTCAGAAGTTGTCATTTCTGTTTTAGAGATAAAGGAAATGAAAGTATGTTATTGCTGTGGTGGCATTAATTTGATGAAAGTCTGTCCAACAAGAGGTCATTTAGGACCTCTGGTCAGGGTGCCAGGGTTGAACCCCTGAGCTGGATATGTTCAGGGGATAAAGTTTGATGGTACAAGTTTTGTTGAATTTAAAATCAGAATATTAAGAACTGCAGTCACTTTAGTCCGATTACCTCAAGTTAGTGTCCAATGACAGGATTCATTACTTGTCCCACCCCCTGCTGCCCTGTTCTCTCAAACACAATCCTAATCACGGTTAATAAATGCGAGACATTGAATTAATTGTGTTACATTTGGTTCCAAGAAATGTCAAATTTTTAGACTTCGGAATTCATTACCAGAACATGTTTGATTGATGTTTGGTGATCAATTTATATTTGAAAAAAAATAGTGTAGTTTCTAAACATTGTTCCAGGAATATTAGATTTATATAATTAAAAAATTTTTTTTTGGATCGTTACAGAGACCCACACAATTACTGTCTGGGGAAAGTGTGGATTTTGCTTACTCGCAATCAATAATCTACAGTAGGCCCATTGCAAAACTCATGGTCAATTCATCGATAACATGTAATATTTTGCAGCAAGATCTATAAACTTGAATAACTAATAAGGTGATACTACATTGTTGTCTAGCAACCATGCTACCATGGCAACCAGTCATGCTTCATTGGATTTAATTCATTACCGGCATGGTAAACCAGCATATTGCTACATTTTACATCATAGGTGTGAAATGCTCAGTGAAATCATTTAAATAAGATGTAAACAAGTAAAACAAACAGGTGTTTAATTTTCATGCTGGTTTTATTCATCAAACATGTAGACAGAACTGGACACAAAATATTACTGCACCAATTATAAAAACACTATTCATTTTGTCACAATTGTATATTTCTTAAATATAAATAATTCACTATTTATTTTGATTACCTATCACCTCTGCTGATTAGAAACATTACTAAAAACATCATTTTTGTTATAGGAAAATCAAACTGGTAGTGCTACTGTTTATTAGGCTGTATGGGCTACTAATTGAGGTACTGTATAAAATAGTTATACCCTGGTACTATTACAATAGTATTTAGATAGGCAGCTATTGTGTTTTTTATGCAAAACAAAACAAAAATACTTAAATTTATCTCCTTGTGATAATAAGCATCACCTTTGTTGATATATAGTTCTTTGTAAAGGCCTACTCAGCATAGAAAACAATCATGGTCACATGAAAATACTGGCATGTGCAAAATATGCACCGGCAATAAAATAGAAACAATTGACCATTTTATTATTGTAAACAAGAGCGAACACTCACCGGTCTGTGCGTTCCGCCACGCTTAAATATGGTACAGGCGCAAGTTATTACATTGTGTTTTTTTGGAAGAGCTAATAAGATAGAAATTTTAATTACGGTGTTTATTTGTAAAAAAACATTACTTAGAATGTTCATTATTTGAACACAATTAAGATATCTTAAAATTAAAAAACACAAAATTTCTTAAAATTGGAAAAAAAAAATTGAATACCAAGACGCTGGAAATCACCTTAAGTTTATGTGTACAAAATTTCCTGCACGTCTGTTCAAAAACTGGTGACGCTGGACGCTTTTAATGTTTTAGTAACAAGAACAGCAGTGAGGCTCTGGGATCAGCGCCTTGCGCGTACCCCAGATTTCATTAATATTATTACATATTATTATTATGTTGTAATTACGTAGAGCTACAGTATGTATTACTGTACTTTAACTCATTTGTATGTTTTATGGACGCACCACTATTTTGTGTGTACCACTGTTTATAAAATGAGAACCAAATGAAAACTAAACTAAGCCGAATGCGATTTGTTGTCAAATGGGTCTCGGCGAGATAAACACAGACGTGATAGGTCTGGGTCAGCCCCGTCTCATGACGATATCGCCGACAAAAAATTGATTTGGGGCTGCATCTTACGACCCTGAGTTGGCCTTAAGTTATTTAGTATTTTCATATTCATAATCTATCTAAACAGCAAATGACTGAAACCTTGAAAAAAACAATTAGTTTGTTTTCAATATAGCAGGAACACAAGGCGAAAAGACAATTATTGAATGCACAATGTCTAGTGTATGTAAAAAGTAAATCAGCTTTTCACAAATTTACCAATCTGTAAAATAATACGCCTAGGCCTTCTGTATGATTAAAGTGAAATTTGCCATTTTTGAGTTTGTAAGTTTATTCCTTGCATTATGAATGTTATTACTGTAGACCAGGTCAAAAATAAACAATGAAATGCCTAGAACAATACCAATTAGCATACTTTGAGCATGGAGGTTAGTGTGGAAGATCATTAATTTTTGTTTATGGATGTATCAAACACAATTTATGGAATGCCATGTGGGCCTGATACAATGCGTTTTGAATTGCAGTCAGTGGCGGATTCAAGGGGGAGGGGGTGGGGTGGGGAAGTGGGTGTTGCACCCCCAACTTGGAGAAATAAAAAAGAAAATTATATTAAAATCATAATCATAAATTTTCTTACCTCAGTCACAACTGTGGAAAGGCTGATCTAGACCCTCCATCTGTGAAAGTCCCTCCCTGTTGGAACTCTCTATTTCGGATTCCTGGATCCGCCACTGGCAGTTCAAATTACGAATTACGATTCAAATTTTAATCACTTTAATTTGCCGTCTTTTGGCAAGCAGGCATTATACTGCAAATAATTTGGTTGTTCAACATGTTTAATAGATTTAATATTAAATATTCATTAGAAGGAAAAACTTTGCACATATAATTACTTGACATATTATATTTCAGTCAGTTAGATCATCATATAATATTTTTTCAGACAATTTGATATATTGATATAGAATTACATAAATAAGAAATGAATGTAGTCATACTATATTAAAATTTACTGAAGTACTGTATGTGGGTACTAATTCAAATTAATAAAAAGGTAAACAATACATTATATTTAATAAATTGCAGTAATATACTGAAGTAAATTTATATGCAAAAGAAATCCTATCAATATACTCAATAAAATATGTATTTTAATTTCAGTTAAGTTAATGTAGATTATTGCTCTTTTTTGTGTATTACTTTAGGTAATAAATACCAAAATACATGGTGTTAAAATTCAACCAATCCGTAATTAGTACACAATACTGTTTTGTATTCTTTTTGATAACATGTACTTGGCACTCCTACGTTGCACCTCAAACCCAAATTCTGTAATCGACTTCCATCATTGATTGTCACCAGTTAACCAATTTATCTTGTGAATGTTTAATGTATAACATAACTGTATAAGAATTCAAAACTATTCAAAAACTCTAGATATTTCATAATTGAGATTTCAGTTGGGCAAGTTCAATAACATTGTCTCTTTCAAATACTTTTATATCTTCAGCTGAGTAACCAATTTCATGGAGCACAGTAGCAGTATCTAAGCCAATTACCGGTTGACACATCTTGCGAACTTTAGCTGGTGTTCGGGAAAGAACTGGTGCAGGGGCAGGCTCCCTCTCACCCTTTGTGTTGGTCAGAAATGACTGCCTCTCTCGATTATGAGGATGTTGTGGTGCCTCATCTAGAGACAGGACGGGTGTGACGCATGCATCTGTGCCATCAAATATCTGGCACCATTCATCTTGTGTTTTCTTGGCAAAGATCCTGGCAAAGTGACGTTTCATGACAGGCCAGTCATCCTGGCTTTGTTGATCTGGTAACTCATCTTCATCAATGTCAAGTCCTGTAAGATAGCAGCAAATCATGATAAAACAATTTTGCTTGAGGAACACTGACATGTTTAACATGCTTGTCAAGTTTACTGTAATATAATTTTTTGTTTTAGTAGTCTGTATCCAGGAGGTTTGAAATACTTGAAAAAACACCCTTTTGAAAAGTGCCCTTTTAAATTACCAATTACAATTTACAACTACTAACAGTAAACTGGAAATAATTTAAAAAAAATATAAAATAAAGTGAATTTTATTGGTTTGTTTTTAAGACTCGTACATCAAATTAAAAAGCAAAACCTTCATTTAAAAATATTTGATTAAACAATTTACCCCTTGACTAAACAGAGGTCCTAGGCCCTATGTGATTTGAAACATTTAGTCTCCGAGGCGAGTTTACATGCACTGCATTACCACATATAGTAGTAAAGTATTAAGTAAAATTAACTTACAACTGCTCCTACTAATTATTTAAGACTAGTATAATACTATAAACCATACTAAAATCTTTTATATTTTAGTGCAACTTAATATATTTCAATTGAAAATATTTCAAGTATACTTCACCTTTCAAAAGTTGACTGTAAAACTGTGGTTCTATTGCACCGACTGCCATATACCTGTTATCAGCAGTTTTGTAGGTTTCATAGAATGGAGCACCAGTGTCCAGTAAGTTTTCCCCACGCTCCCTGTTAGAAAAACCAAGGTCACGAGAAGTCCACATCCATGACCCCAAATAGGCAGCACCTTCAACCTATGGAGATGATTTTGGAGTTAGGATTCTTTTCTTCTCTTGTGACTCTTGTAAAACAGCCAATGAATGATATTAATGAACAGCCAATGAATGACATTAATGTCAAGAAGTTGAGATGACGTGGCTCACCATGTTTGCATCAATGATCTGTCCTTTCCCAGACCTTGTCTTTTCTAAGAGAGCCATAACAATTCCAAGAGAGCACATCAAACCACCACCAGCAAAATCACATAAAAGATTGATTGGTGCAATTGGATTTTCACCTTTTCTACCAAGCAACGACAGAATACCTGTTGGAATAATAATATAAATAATAATAATAATAATAATAAATAATACTTTTATTTCAATATGTGAAAGTTGATTATGATTAGCGTAATAGAACACAAGTCAAAACAAATAAATGGTTGTTCCATGTTGTCTTTTGGAGACCACTTTTAGCTTCGGTCTTTTAGAGTTTTGTAATTTGAGGCTGAACCCCAAGAACACCCCTTTTCAGGTCCTCATAGTGTTCTCGAATTGGAGGGTAGACTGTACAACATAAAGGATTTTTCTAGATTACTCAGTAAATCCTAGAGGCATATAAACATAAAAAACCATAACCCTGCGGGTGTGTACGTTCCTTTGTACGTAAACGTAGTTTAGAGGGATATGTAGTCCAGTAATGGTTTCTAATGTTTTTACGTACACCTACACCCCCA